GCAGAAACTACTTTTGACTGAGAGAGGCAACTTAACCCAACCTAAAGTGTATATAAACCCAAAAACAGAAATATTTGCAGGTTAACAGTCCTTAAATGTGGTGGCTGCATTAGCTTTCTTTTTTTCAGGCTTATTTCCTTTAATTTTTTTCCCAGGTAATCCTGTCAGCAACACACTTTCTGTCCAAGGATGACAATGCTCACTCACTGTACTGTAGAAGGGCGAACCTTGTCACCCTAGTACAGGAGTACAGAACACCTCTTCCTCTCCTCTTCTTACTAACATAGATAGCTGAGAACAATGTAATTGATAACAGTGTAGCAAAGGGACATGCAAAATAGGCATTAGGCCTCGTTGTTAATATCCAGTGAGGCTGCTCACATGTACTGAAGAAGGAGAGGGAAGAGGGTCTTGAGAAATGTCCAATTATGTATGAAGCAGTAAGGATGCCACCGATGGTCAGAGTCCAACATTCTTTTAGATCAGAATCAGAAGAATAAGAAAACCACAATCCAAAGACATGCTAATAGGTTAATTGGTTCCTGTCTAAATTGGCCCTTGTATGTGTATGTACAGTATGTGAGTTAGGGAGCTTAGATTGTAAGCTCCTTGAGGGCAGGGATGGATGAGAATGTATAATACATATGTAAATAGCTGAGTATATTGATGGCGCTATATATAAATACCGGAAATAAATAAACCGACATGTTTTGGGGGTTCAGACACTGCCTCTTCACCAAGGTTAAGTGTTATGTAACCTCAGCTATGGCTGGACACCATTGGATTGTAACTATAGTTGTATGCATACTGTATAGTGGGATCCTGCCACCAGCAGTGTGTGCAGTGTGGAGCTCTTAGACTGCTGGTGTCAAGGAGCTTCAGCCCACCTCATTTCCTAGCTGGAGGACATCCTGCATCTTCTAGACCTTTCCTCTCCAACCTGACTGTCCTTGGCCCGCCCCTTTCATTTATTGGAATTCAGTTCTGCCAATCCAAGGGGCTCAGCATCACATGTGTGTGTTACCCAAGGTAGTCTGAATGCAATACTGAATTAAACCTTACAATTTTGCTTACCCCTACTCTGGACCCCAGGGCCTGTGGTCAGATCTCATTGGCCCAGGATAGCATAGAGGTGACAAGAACAGGAAATCAGTACAGTCCAGATATCCTCCTGCAGGACAGTCATGGTTGTGAGTTCTGCACTGTACAAACATTGGCTCAGTATTCCTGGCATGATATGTATATTGTGGTGCCTTGTATGATCTGGGACAATCAGTGCTCAACAGACACTGCTATAGCCCTCCTTGCAGAGACAATTATGGCCATTGAGAGGTGTCTGAGCACAATTAATGCTTTTTAGGTTTACACCAGCCAAAACATAACATGTGGAGGGAACATTCTGGACACATGCCCTTACCACAGGCTCCATATGAAAGACGCTGTCTGAGAAAAGCATGGAGTCTGTCTCCACTGTCTTCTTGCGGTTGTAGAAAGTGCGGCTGAGGAGGGAAAGTCGCTCATGGAGGGAAGGATCCACTTTGCATTCTTCTAGAAAACGATCTGTCTCCTCTTCTTCCTCCATCTTTAGGTCTGAGCAGAATCTGGAGGTCACAGAACAGATCCCACATTACCTTCTCTATTATTAGATTTCACACCATAGATTTGTGCATCATTAAAGCCCAAATTAACTTTCAATTTAAATCTGCTAAACATATACCAGGTGCATCAAACAAAACCTGTGTAAAGTCTTACAGTAGGTTTTCTTCATAAAGCAGCCGCAACCAGAGAAGAAAAGCCTGTGACCTGCAGCCATGCTGCAGAGAAGAACTCTCTAGGTGGAAGCAGTGGTCTCTCTGCAGAGGTCCGACACCTCTGCTGAGTTAGAGCTAGCGTTCTCCAATCAGCTGGGAGCATGAGCTTTGCTGACTGGAGAGCTCAAGGTCTGATTTAGCAATTAGGTCTATTTGACCTCTGTAGAGAAACCACTGCTTCCACACAGAGATCAAGGATCCTTTTGTGCAGTAGGGAACATGAGCTTTGCTGATAGGAGAGCTCTAGCTCTAACTCAGCTCTAACTCAGTAGGGGTGTTTTAGACCTCTGCAGAGTAGCCACTGCTTCCAAACAGACAGCAAGGGTCCTTCTGTTGAACGCGGAACATGAGCTTTGCTGATAGGAGAGCTCTAGCTCTAACTCAGCTCTAACTCCATAGGGGTGTTTTAGACCTCTGCAGAGTAGCCACTGCTTCAAAACAGACCAGGGGCAGACTGACAACTCATGGGGCCCCCAGGCAATAGGGGATCATGGGGCCCCTGTGTCCTTGCCCAAACTCAAAAAAGCCTATGAAAAAGGTACCAGGGGCATCTCATGGGGCCCCCTACTGACCTCGAGCAGTGCCCGAGTTTCCAAATGGTCAGTCCGCACCTGAAACAGACAGCAAGGGTCCTTCTGTTCAACACGGAACATGAGCTTTGCTGATAGGAGAGCTCTAGCTCTAACTCAGCTCTAACTCAGTAGGGGTGTTTTAGACCTCTGCAGAGTAGCCACTGCTTCCAAACAGACAGCAAGGGTCCTTCTGTTCAACACGGAACATGAGCTTTGCTGAAAGGAGAGCTCTAGCTTTGACTCAGCAGGGGGAGTTTTGACCCTCTGCAGAAAAGCAACTGCTTCCACACAGAGAGCATGGAAGCTTTTCTGCAGCATGTGGACAGGGGACAATCTCTCCTTCAAAAATATGCAAGTAAAACTTGATTTACCATTATCTCTGTCCCCTTGACCCAGCTGAGAAGAAGAACGTGACCTATGTGAGGTGATCAGACCAGCAGTAAGGAAGAAAGTCCCCATCACTCCACAAATGCCTTTTCCAGATCAGGGGTGGACTGACAACTCATGGGGCCCCCAGGCAATAGGGGATCATGGGGCCCCTGTGTCCTTGCCCAAACTCAAAAAAGCCTATGAAAAAGGTACCAGGGGCATCTCATGGGGCCCCCTACTGACCCCGGGCCCTCGGGCAGTGCCCGAGTTTCCAAATGGTCAGTCCGCCCCTGTTCCAGATTTATTCAGAACACATAGGGGTTTATTTACTAAAGCTGGAGAGTCCAAAATCAGACTCCCTTCTGCATAGAAACCAATCAGCTTCCAGGTTTCATTGCCAAAGCTTCATTGAACAAGCTGAGGTTAGAAGCTGATTGGTTTCTATGCAGAAGGGAGTCTGATTTTGGACTCTCCAGCTTTGGTAAATAAACCCCATAATGTCACATGGGTCAAACAGCCAATGTTTCAGAGCCTCGCAGGGTCCGTTCCTTGGGGCTGTTTGACTTGATTTGGGGCAAAACGGGGGCTGTTTGACTTATGTGAAATTATTGTTCTGAATAAATCTGCAGCAGCGGGTTATGTGTTCTGAATAAATCTGCAGAGGGCATTTTTTGGAGTGCTGTGCACTATCTTCCCTGTTACTGATTATGAATGGCGTCACCCATTCTGAATGACTTCTGATCCAGCACTGCCAGCATTCTGCAGCTCCACACAAGGCGATTGGTATAAGGTATCCAGACTAGGCTGCGGGGATGCTGGGACTTGTGGTAGATGTGCAGCAGCTGGCTTGCAGCGCTCTCCTTCCCCACCCCCACGTTGTACACACATGGCAGGCACGGCGGCCGGCCAAGTGAGGACACTTTGTTGTTAGTTAAAGTGCTTTCTTCAGCACAGAGGCATTCATCTCTGGCTAATGTCATTAAATATGGAGCAGAGGGGAGCCGTCTCTCAGCTGTGTACCTCCAAGGCACACCATGGCCCAGATGTAGGGCGCCTATTAACCCTTCCACGCTGCTTCCATCCCGCGTCCCCCGGATGAGAGATCCCAATCTGACAGGCAGCACTTTGCAGGAATTACGGGGCGGATGGCTTGGAAATGGCTCATCCAAATGTTAAATATTAGATGGAGAAGAAGAGCAATTAGTGCAGAGTTGCCACTTTGCATTAACATGTACATTGGCGACAGATACGCTGCAACTCGCTAAGACTCTTATGTTTATGTTCGGAGTTCCTCCACACCGTGTGATCTAATCGGACAACGTGTATATGTGGAGTCACGCTGAATTACTGACCGCTGGGTGCCCCCGACAACACGGGGCAACCCAAGATGGGAAGACGCCGACGCTGCCGTGACTGAGGCTGAAAGAAGGGCCTTGACAGTCTAAACTGACTTTAACAATCCAACTCAACTCCATCCAGAATTAATATTTTAGATTTGCATGGTTTCTGGTAATCTGAATCACAAGCCGGCTTCTGGTAACACTCACTCATCTCCCCCAAGAATGTCGACAGATTCCCCATAACTGGGAATCTCTGATAACTGAAAAGCTTAGATTTATGTTTACCTTGTGGGAGGGGCAGCAATATAAACTACTGCAGAGAAATGTCACCATTGTGGGAGGGGCAGAGACACAAACTACTGCAGAGAAATGTCACCATTGTGGGAGGGGCAGAGACACAAACTACTACAGGGAAATGTCACCATTGTGGGAGGGGCAGAGACACAAACTACTGCAGAGAAATGTCACCATTGTGGGGCAGAGAAACAAACTACTGCAGGAAAATGTCACCATTGTGGGAGGGGCAGAGGCACAAACTACTGCAGGGAAATGTCACCATTGTGGGGCAGAGCAGAGAAACAAACTACTGCAGGAAAATGTCACCATTGTGGGAGGGGCAGAGGCACAAACTACTGCAGGGAAATGTCACCATTGTGGGAGGGGCAGAGACACAAACTACTGCAGGGAAATCTCATCATTGTGGGAGGGGCAGAGACACAAACTACTGCAGGGAAATCTCATCATTGTGGGAGGGGCAGAGACACAAACTACTGCAGGGAAATCTCATCATTGTGGGGGCCTTGACAGTCTAAAACTGACTTTATCAATCCAACTCAACTCAACATCCATCCGAATTATAATATATTTAGGATTATATTCATGGCTTCTCTGAGCTAATCTGGGCAGAGACACAAACTACTGCAGAGAAATGTCACCATTGTGGGAGGGGCAGAGACACAAACTACTGCAGAGAAATGTCACCATTGTGGGAGGGGAGAGAGACAGACACAAACTACTGCAGGGAAATGTCACCATTGTGGGAGGGGCAGAGGCACAAACTACTGCAGGGAAATGTCACCATTGTGGGAGGGGCAGAGACACAAACTACTGCAGGGAAATCTCACCATTGTGGGAGGGGCAGAGACACAAACTACTGCAGAGAAATGTCACCATTGTGGGAGGGGCAGAGACACAAACTACTGCAGAGAAATGTCACCATTGTGGGAGGGACAGAGACACAAACTACTGCAGGGAAATGTCACCATTGTGGGAGGGGCAGAGACACAAACTACTGCAGGGAAATGTCACCATTGTGGGAGGGGCAGAGACACAAACTCCTGCAGGGAAATCTCATCATTCTGGGAGGGGCAGAGACACAAACTACTGCAGGGAAATCTCAGAGAGAAAACTTACCATTGTGGGAGGGGCAGAGACACAAACTACTGCAGAGAAATCTCATCATTGTGGGAGGGGCAGAGATAAAAAGCTGCTGGGAAGTATCACCATTGTGGGAGGGGCAGAGACACAAACTACCATAGAGAAGTCTTACCATTGTGGGAGGGGCAGAGACTCAAACTACTTCAAGGAAATATCACCATTGTGGGTGGGGCAGAGACACAAACTACTAGAAGGAAATATCACCATTGTGGGTGGGGCAGAGACACAAACTACTGCAGAGAAATCTCACCATTGTGGGAGGGGCAGAGACACAAACTACTTCAAGGAAATTTCACCATTGTGGGAGGGGCAGCGACACAAACTACTGCAGAGAAATCTTACCATTGTGGGAGGGGCAGCGACACAAACTACTGCAGAGAAATCTTACCATTGTGGGAGGGGCAGAGACACAAACTACTGCAGCGAAGTCCCACCATTGTGGGAGGGACAGAGAAGCAAACTATTGCATTAAAATCTCACCATTGTGGGTGGGGCAGAGACACAAACTACTGCAGAGAAATCTCATCATTGTGGGAGGGGCAGAGACACAAACTACTGCAGAGAAATCTTACCATTGTGGGGGCGGCAGTGACACAAACTACTGAGGGGAAATCGTACCATTGTGGGAGGGGCAGTGACACAAGCTACTGCAGAGAAATCTTACCATTGTAGGAGGGGCAGAGACACAAACTACTGCAGAGAAATCTCATCTCATTGTGGGAGGGGCAGAGATAAAAAACTGCTTGGAAGTATCACCACTGTGGGAGGGGCAGAGACACAAACTACCATAGAGAAGTCTTACCATTGTGGGAGGGGCAGAGACACAAACTACCATACTTCAAGACACAAACTACTTCAAGGAAATATCACCATTGTGGGAGGGGCAGAGACACAAACTACTGCAGAGAAATCTCACCATTGTGGGGGGGGGGGGGGCAGAGACACAAACTACTGCAGCCAAGTCCCACCATTGTGGGAGGGGCAGAGAAGCAAACTATTGCATTAAAATCTCACCATTGTGGGAGGAGCAAAGAAAGAAACTACTTTGGCAAAATCTCACCATTGTGGGGGGGGCAGAAAAAAACTACTTCAGGGAAGTATCACCATTGTGGGTGAGCCAGAGGCACAAACTAATGTAGGGATCTCAACATTGTAGAAGGGACACTAAGGAGAGAAAATCTCACCATTGTGGGAGGGGCAGAGACACAAACTACTCTGGGGAAATCTCACCACTGAGGGAGGGAGACAAAAAAACCTACAGTGGGGAATTCTGACCTTTGTCTCTGAGCCTCCTCCTCTTGATGGGTACCAAATTCTTTCCACTGGAAGTGTGTTATGATGTCACTGCGATTGAAGATGGTAACTGTCCTCTGATTGGTTAAAGATGAGAAGGTCTTCTCAATAGTGAGCGAGTTCTTGTCTAGCCGCACATTGATATCAGTCGCTGCACCATGAACACCGACACAAATATCTTCCCCTGAGAAAGAGACAAACGTTTGCGATGACATCAATGGATGACTTGTAGATTATACACACATGTGAATTATATGGATGAGATGGGATGAGGCAGGTCATACCAGTAACACACAATTACACACAATCCCTCCTGTTCTGTGTCACGCACATAACGCCACCAGATATTTGTCATTTATCCCACAAAGCAGACAGCTTGATGTGAGCTATGATAAGGGCAATTACCAGCAGAGATAACACTGATCCCATCACAGGATCACACTGGACATCCTGATAAAGCTGGATCTGCTATGCCAGCAACGAGCCGCCACTGACAAGTCTACAGTGAGTGGTATAGGTCGATACAACAAGAGAGCCAGGCAGGGCCAAGCCAAGGGGGGCAGCAGAAGGCAGCTGCCTTGGAGGCTTTCTATTTGCCCCATATTGGTGTGATGGATTTGGTAAAATCCCTATTTCGTTTCCTATTGAATATATATATATATACGCTATTTCTATAAGTTTTATAAATATTTACTTTTATACTTTAATATATATGTTGTGTGAATATTTTCTGCCTGCTGGGCTTTGTGGTACTATAAGAAATCCTTGTTTAAGAAATGTCTGCTCACACACACAGACCCCCTCCCACCGTGTGATTTGGAAGACAAAAGAATGTTTTTTTCTCTATAAGATAAGATGGAAGAAGATCACACCTATACCATGACGGAGATTGTTTTCATGTGGAAATGACCAATCAAAGATTAATATAATGTTTATGCTGTTGTCACATGACTCTTGCATCATTCTGCATATATAAGCTCATTTTCTCATTATAATAAACTAGAAGTGTTCATAGACTGAACTTGTGTGTCAGCGTGAGTCTCTTCCAGTGTGCGCACATTCCAAAGCTAGCGTCATAAATTAGGACAGGAACAGATAAGCACTGGACGATTCAGTCCTCTACTAAATCATTGGCACTGTATCCAATGTAACATTTGAATTTTTCAGAGCAGAATAGGACTGACCAGAGAAGGATGCCATGGAAAACTAAAGGCATTATAACGCAAGTTACATGATGTAATGTGTGTTTAAGTACAGAAATGTGAATCAGGCCTCAAAGTAGAGCTAAGGCCTATCATCAAAGAAAACATTTGTGCTGCGGCACCTAATTATAAGTCCATCTGCAATTACAGTTTCCTCCTAGTACCCCTGCAAAGTCCCAGAAATATCCAATGAAGTCCAGCTTCTTGAGATAGGGTGACAACAATGCTGCACTGCTCCTAAATTCAGAGCAGTGTTGTCACCATCATATGAGCTGTGCCTAGCTGCACTACAGTGGAAGGAGAAGATATTACAGGGGAGTGGATATCGGCATTGATTTATAAGCCTGCAGCTTGTCAGTCAGCACATGGCCATACCCAGCCCACTGCTTTCTGGATTGAGTCTTTTACTGAAACCCTCCCACTGTGAGCTGCAGTGTCTAGAAGGGGGAGCATGCGAGACACAAATGATGAAGGATTTGGCTGTTTTCTATTTACTTTATGAGGCTTGTACATCACATAGTAATTGGATCTGGGACTTGTTTAGTTGTACGTTAACCTAACATTAACTAACCACTTATATCCCCTAAACAGATGAAGAAGAGGCGCCACAAGATCATAGTGTAATAAACCTGTAATAACACAATAAAAGGCATGATAATGAATTTCCACTGCTGATGAAGGGGACGTGATAGCATCCTGAAATACATATACCATGATCCTTTGCTTCAGCACACGAGGAGAATCACAGAGCGGTGATCCAGTGACAGGTGCTGCTCAGGAGCTGGCATGGGCAGCGTCTCCTTGGTCTCAGTGGCAGGATTCCTTCCAGGGGCGACTGAAAACTCATGGGGCCCCCGGGCAATAGGGGATCATGGGGCCCATGTGTCCTTGCTCAAACTCAAAAAAGCCTATGAAAAAGGTACCAGGGGCATCTCATGGGGCCCCCTACTGACCCCGGGCCCTCGGGCAGTGCCCGAGTTTCCAAATGGTCAGTCCGCCCCTGATTCCTTCCTACTGCAGTGGTTCAGCTCCATCTCTGCAGAGACTGATTTTCATGATCTGATATGCTCCATTTTTTTTCTTTTGTGAGTGGAATTAATTATCGTGCCTTTTATCTTTGATAAAATGTTTATTACACTGTTGTCTTGTGGTGCTTCTCTCTCCCTCCCTTCTTTATCTCTTCAGAACCTGCTTCCCCAAGCACACAAGAGAAGGCTGCCTAAGGATCTGACAGTTCAGCTGCTTAGTTTTAGAGACTGCTATACAGCTGGGACTATTGTTTTGGTTTTGCCTCTATTTGTATCTATTTTTGGTCCATTTGACTACATGAATACATTGTATTTCTCATTTCTCCCTGTGAATTTTAACAATTGTTACTTTCCATCTTCTCCTCACTGTCTGCTGTTACAGTGATCCAATCGCTGCCCATGGTCCTAAGTCCTCATGCACAATGGACATTTTTACAGCGGCTGTTTTTGGCTTTTGTATTTCAATGGTTTTTATTCATTTTAAACAGTATAAAACAGAGGCAACAAAACACACCCACGCAGGGGCTATCAATTGCACTGATAAAAAAAGGCATAATAGAGCAGACAACGCTCTAATTCCAATAAGGCAAAACGTATGCCCACGCAGGGGCTATCAATGGCACATAAGTTACAATAACATCAGTGAAACTCTGACTATCGCAACTAAAGACAGCTGTCCACTGGCACACCAAAACAAACAGAAAAAGAGAGAAGAAGAGCAGAGAAAAAAAAAAAAAAAGAAGAAAAAAAAAAAACAAAACACACACACAAAGAGCAGGGGTCCATGAGCGCCAATACCAAACTCCATTACCTCCCCACACTGGCCGGGGGGAGCATGGGAAAACATATTGCAACCACGGCTCCCATATTTTCAAAAATTTACGTTGAGAGTCGTTGCATATACTCGACATCTGTTCGTTGAGCATCATAGCAGTCATACGATCCCGCACCCCCTGAAAAAGTACAAACGGACTCTTCCAGGCCTGAGCAATTGTCCTAGTGGCCGATAAAAAACAAATAGGAAGCCAACCGCTGCTGACGAGCCAAGAGGCCCGGTATGGGGCAATGAAGCAAAGCATACCGAGCATCCCGACGTATGGAGAGATGGAACAAAGTGAAAAGGAGGCCAAACACACGAGACCAAAAACGAAACCAACCTCAGGCATGACCACCAGATATGCAGTACATCGCCACGATGGCCACAACCCCGAAAACATCGATCACTACAGGCAGGGTTAGCCTGGGCCAGACAAGCCGAACCCAATACCAACGAAACAATACCTTGTAGGCTGCTTCCAGCGTGGTCGTATTAAATGAACATTTAGCTATGAGTGACCAG